GACACTGCGAGGCTTTACAAGGGGATCTGGCCAGCGCTCGACACTCAGGGGAAAGGCGAGATGGATATACAATCAGGCAGTTACTGGTACCATCGGAATTGTAACTCTTCGCTTGCTGCTGAAGATGGGGACAGAGTACTCATGGGGGGTGTCCAGAGTGCTGTGATGTTGATTCTTAATTCAACATATTTAGTACTAATTCCTAAACGTTTGTACATTGTAAACGTTACAATATGCTTGGCTTCGACTCTCATATGGATAAGATACATTTTTGATTAGAAGAACGATTTCTTGAGGTCCCTGGTAAGTTCTCCTTATCAGGTCTGGACTGTGGTGTGAGGATCCCTGGCAAATGTGTGAGAGGCTTACACTTTGTAAAATATTGGGTGCGAAGCTTACATAGCAGATCTTCTGCCAAGTGTTGTGTTTGGGGCTTACCACACTGGGTCACCTGCTGAGGCTTCTGGGCTTGCTAACTACAGTTGTGTTTGAGCCATGAACGTACATTCCAAAGTAAATTTATTGAGCTGAGCTGAGTCAGGAATTACCAGCATAACACTCAGGATATTTCAGTAAACGCTCCATCCTCATCTTCAGCAGCAAGTGCAGAGTTCCAGCTGTGATGGTACAAAGTGACAGTTTGATTGTATGCCCTGAGCATTCTAAATATTATGCTATCTGTTGTATCTTAGTCTTGTAAAATATAGTGTGCAAGGCTCACTGGGGGTTACTAGATCAAAAGGTATGTAAGGTGTTTTTTTTTTTTTTAAATTTAGAACACTCAGTTGAGTGTTCAGTGTGCACAGACTTGTACATGTTGTTTACATTATTGCTTTGAATATTTTGTCAGGAGTTGTGTTGCATTCCAGACAATCTGATTGGTGTTGAAATGAAGCTTAATTCTCTATAAATTTCTCCATTCATAATAAAGATGTCTTGAAAAACAAAAAGTTGCTTAATAAAAATGACCACTCTGTAAAGAAGGAATGTTTGCCCTGGGAGTTAACAGTGGCCTGTGTGAGTTGACCACATCACCCATTGAGTGCTATTTGTTGTCTATGAAAGTACAGATCTGTACCCCCCCCCCCCCCCCCCACCCTTTTCCCCTCCATTAACTCAGTTCAGTTTGATCTGTGACTGGAGCTCATGTGAGATAGTGAATCAAGACGGTTTGCCTGTCAGTGTGACACAAGCAGATGATGATGACAATGTAAAGTTTTTTTTGATAACTACAGCTTAGAAAGTCTGTTTCATAACCTTTCTTTTCAACAGCTATGTTTGCAAAGATATGGATTCTTATCACATAATAACATAAAATATACAAATATGGACTATATATTATTCAATGAACTATACTATAATTTTCATAACTGCAGAATGACAAATATATAGAACAGTGGTTAGTTCCTTAAGTTTTTGAAAATAATTATATAATTCTTCTTCTTCTTTGCGTTCACCAGCTGTAAACTCTGGCAGAAAGTTCTGGCTGTTCATCCACTTCTGGACTGCAGTCCTGTTTTGTTCACCAGGTGTAAGCTCCGGGCGAAAATCCTTCTTGTTCATCTATTTGGACTTTGACTTTGTGCCAGGGCCTGAGGTTTGCCTGAACATCCATTTTAGTGACTTATTTGTGTGTAGCTGGTTGTTCCTTGCTGCTCGGGCAAATGCACTCCGACTTCGAAGAAAGCTCCCAATTAGTGACATGCTTATTGTGAAGGCAGTGGGTTTATTCTTGTTTTCCCTACAATGGGATTCCAGAATCCACACGGGGAATGATATAGTTCAACCTACGTTTGGTAATAATTGAGATGTATTTGTTTTTTGGACAAAAGGTGTCATTAAAAAAAAAACTATGTCATTCAAATAAATGATTTCCCCAACTGTTGCCGCTTCAGTGCTGGTACCTGAAGCTGTTATCCCTGTGACTTATTTAGCCACATCTTGGATAGTTATCAGACCTGTTCAACCTTCTCATCTTCACTCTTCTACCACGTTTTATCAGATCACCACTTGGTGTTGACTGCATGATCAGTTCCCTCCACTTATCGGTCAAACGCGGTGAACTTGATGTTGGCATCCTAAAGCCTGTTTAGTGACCCAAATTCTGTATTCTGTTCTTTTTTGGTCTGCCTCTTCTCTGTAGGACCCCATAGTATCTCTCTAGAAAGGCTGATAGATCTTGTTCCATGTCTGTGCGATATGAATTTTTTTTCAAAACTGTTGTTTAATGAGGTACAAAGGAAATTGTTAGTGTTAAGCCTTTTAATAAATGTTTATTAGGGCCTCCTTTGTGGCTAAACCTAGTACTAACCTGGTGTCCTAGAGGGAAAAGGCATGGTTTGAAGTGTAAACATTTGCAGGTGAACCAATGTTTGTAACTGGGCTGACTGTAACATATTGATCCATATCTTGTACTCAGTTTTATATACAGAACAAATTATTATGCTTTAGCAAACTATTTACTCCATGAACTAAACATGTTGGTTTATTGAACTGTTGAGATATGATGCTAATATATGGCTGACAGTGAAGCATAGCAGGCAGGACCTTCAGTATATTTGTAGTCTGTTAATCATTGCATTTTGTTCCTGTCTGATTCCTTATATTTTTTAAACAGAGAACTGTGTTTTTATATACACTGTAATGAATAGTGTGTTATTAAATGTCAATTCTGAATGGTGAAATGACTTGTTATCATTTCATATTTGTACGTATTGTGGTCACCACTGAAAAGATATGTGGAAAGACACAGAAGAAGACAGCACGAGAACTTCTTAACAGTCTTTTGTCACAATACGATGTGACAACACACGAGCTGATACACGCAACTGCTGATCGCAGATTGTGGAGAGGCACAATTGTCCTTGCCAGTCGGCAAGGCACTGGATGATGATGCATTGTCTTTGAATGAGTATCTTCTGCTTCGCTATCCCTCTTTTACAGATTTTAGCGTTGAGGGAGACAAAGGTTCTAGTTCCAAAATGACTATGCTTGGGTCCCATTTTATCAGTCCGTCTGTATCTCTGTATGTTTTCTATAACAATACATAATCAACTGCCAGCTTGCAAGGTCTGCCGCAAATCCATCAGATCCCGTTAGTGAGGACGAACGAGTGCATGCTTGTGCACTTGTAGCTATCAGGTTAAGGTGTGCAAACAGAATACTTTGCCAGTTTGTTTTCAAGTTTGTGACCATTTATCTGATCAGTGAAATTAAATATCGACACTGTTGTGTGTGTGTGTGTGTGTGTGTGGACAGGTCACCGGAAGGAATGGACTTGAGTTGTGCTGATACAAGAACTGATATCACATCATGTGGGGCATATCCATAAGCGCTCCGTTCCCATCTTCAGCAGCCAGCGCAGAGTTCCAATACCAACGGTACCAGTAGCAATCACTCTAACCAGACTGATGATCCATTTGCTCCTCCAAATTGTACACGCACTCCCATAAGGCCTTGACCACGTCCTGCCTTATCATGCATTAGTATTCCACCAAGTTGTGCAGAGCCAGCCAGTCTGTCTGTCTGTTCATCTCCCAACACACCAGCATTCCCTGGAGAAAAGACAAGACAATGCTCCTCACTGGTGACCTCCGAATGAAGTATGCCACACCAGCAGAAAGCATGTATGTCTTCACCTTCCTCAGCATGCTTTATGAGTCAGTTACAATCACTAAGAGTGTGTGTATCATGTTTTCTAAGCAGCAGACAGCATGTCTGTCTTCACCTTCCTCAGCATGCTTTATAAGTCAGTTACAATCACTATGAGTGTGTGTATCATGTTTTCTAAGCAGCAGAAAGCATGTCTGTCTTCACCTTCCTCAGCATGCTTTATGAGTCAGTTACAATCACTAAGAGTGTGTGTATCATGTTTTCTAAGCAGCAGACAGCATGTCTGTCTTCACCTTCCTCAGCATGCTTTATGAGTCAGTTACAATCACTGAGTGTGTGTATCATGTTTTCTAAGCAGCAGAAAGCATGTCTGTCTTCACCTTCCTCAGCATGCTTTATAAGTCAGTTACAATCACTGAGTGTGTGTATCATGTTTTCTAAGCAGCAGACAGCATGTCTGTCTTCACCTTCCTTAGCATGCTTTATAAGTCAGTTACAATCACTAAGAGTGTGTGTATCATGTTTTCTAAGCAGCAGACAGCATGTCTGTCTTCACCTTCCTTAGCATGCTTTATAAGTCAGTTACAATCACTAAGAGTGTGTGTATCATGTTTTCTAAGCAGCAGAAAGCATGTCTGTCTTCACCTTCCCCAGCATGCTTTATGAGTCAGTTACAATCACTAAGAGTGTGTGTATCATGTTTTCTAAGCAGCAGAAAGCTGGTCAGGAATGGACTTGAGAACTTGTAACAACTTGCAAAGATTGGGAAAACAAAGAGATAAAGACATGCATGGTTTGGCCAAAGGGATGGAGTGAGACAGGAGTAATGACTTGATCTGTTTCTGGTGATTGTGTGAGATAGTGATACATGGCCACCCACACCTAAAGGCAGAGCACATGATAATGATGATGAACATTAAAGCGCTTTAGGGAAAGCCGAGGTTCAAAATAAGGACAATAAAATACTAGGCTGTTGTTTATGTGATTAACAAGGGACAGTGTTTACCTTCCTCAATGATGTAACAGCATCCGTAATTCACTGAATTATCACCTCAATCTCTTCTTCTATCGTTACTTTTCGATATTTTAGCCAAACAAGACATGATTATTTCTGATGAATATTTGATATATTTCACAACAGTACTGAACAACAAATCAGTGAATACTGGAGACAATGCAGGAGACTCATGCTTACACAATTTATGAATACAGTATCATTTAATATGAACAACCACTCATAACAATAATAATCATTACACTTGTTTTAAACAAAAGCCAAATAAACAAAAAAAAAAGAATGCAGACATGTATCTTTGAATATGTCTAGCAAAGACCCAAAAAAAAAAAAAAACACTTTTATTTCCGACTAAATACAGAAACATAACAAATCAGCTTGGCAGGAAGTCATCATCAAAATTCTGCGACAATAAAAAATTTGCAGCTAAGTCCTCGTTTTTATCACAAGCAAAATAAGCCTGGATACACATGGCTTCTGGGAACCCAAGGGCCTTCAACTGTCAAAAGACATAAACAGGAACAAGTTATGAGGGCAGAATCAAAGCAATTCAACTCTATCATTCTTCGTATGAAAGAGTTGCGTGGTGTGGTAGTTTTCAGGTTTGTCTGTGACATCTTTTTGGACCATCTGTGTCTTTCAGCCTGGTTCCTCTAACTATAGCATGCTTTTCTATCACAATGAGCTTCCTCAGTCCACGGTCAACCAAGAACTATGCATTGGACAATGGAGGTTTGTGATCTGAGTTTCTTCCCTAGCGGAAAATGGAGGTTTGTGATTTGAGTTTTTTCCCTAGCGGAAAATGGAGGTTTGTGATTAAAGTTCCTTTCCCTAGACGGACAATGGAGGTTTTTGATTAGAGTTCCTTCCCCTAGACGGACAATGAAGGTTGAAGGTTTGTGATTAGAGTTCCTTCCCCTAGACAGACAATGGAGGTTTGTGATTAGAGTTCCTTCCCTTAGCTGACAAGCTCAATCTCCTCACGACAGAAGGTTATTTTTTATGTAAACAAAGGTGGGGGGTATCCACTTCATACTTTAAACCAAAATTAAGGACCAGGGTGTCTCTGTCTTTTCTCTACCCTCTGACCAGTCCAGCTTGGGAAGCCCTGCTGGTAACTAGGCTACCGCTGGCATAGCTCTCCTGGTCACTGAGAAACTCAAGTTTCTTCAGCTCTGCATGATGGAGAGTTTCAGGCAAGACTTCACTCATTCAGTACCAAAACAATTCTGTATTGTTTAATGGTCAATTATACCAGATGTCAATTTCTTTACTCTGTGTACACCAAGTAGTTCTCCCATGAACCAACCCTATTCTAAATAAAAAATAAAAAATGTTTTACCACTGTCCAAAAACCACACAAACGACTAATTTTTCCCGATCCGTGAGGAATGAACACAAGAAGTACTGGTGCATATAATTTCTAACTGCTTACTAATTTCTTTCTGCGAAACAGATTTACTTCTGACATTCCTCAGATGTTACATTCAGTAACTGTAACTAACAACTGGTCTAGAATAAATGAATTGAGGCATCAGCATTCTGGTACTGAGAGTCAAGTCTCTCAATACTGGAACATTCATTTTTTGTTTACTGATTATTCTACATACTACTGATCTAATGGAACTGATCATCATCTCACTTTTGGGCTTTCCTCCAAATAACGGTCCCAAATTATCGAGGCTAAGAAAATACCCTAAGGGCCTCAGTCATATGTAAATTGCTGACCTCTATCTGGCGACTATACCGCCACCACCGAGATGGTGTGGAGGGGGGCTAAACTTGATGGCTGAGACTCACGAGCAAATAAAGAGGAGTCCCAGCCATCTAGTTTAGCAGGGGGAAACTCTTGGCGGTGACTTTAACTCTGCGGAAGCTTTTCCGCGGTATGCTGTATAGTCGGCGGAAAGATGACAGAGGCCCTGTTAGGGTATTTTCTTAGCCTCGATAATTTGGGACCGTTTCTAGAGGACAGCCCACTACTGTAATATCCGTTGTATCACTAGACACAGCATCATGGCATGATGGGCAGTAATATTCCCAACAACAGCAGTGGGGGCGCATTATATTCAACCTTTATTGGAGAGACTGTAGACATTTTTTTAAGGTCCAAGTAAAGGTGTTTATTAGACTTTCCGTACCATTCACGTTTGCTGATTAAACCACTTACCCCTTTTCACAGAGAAAGAGTTAAATTATACACTGAGTCTGGATCAAATGACAAAGAAAATGAACATCATACTAACCCTGTCGATTGCCAGCTTCTCTTCCTGTGTCACAGAGATGTACTCTGATCCAGGGGCGCGCGTGCCTCCAGCTCCTTGGTCTCGCTCTGGGTCTGCAGCCACGTCAGGCTCATTCAACATGGCCACAAAACGTTCCTGGTTTTGACTAATCACCTGGTGATCATTCAACTCAAATGATAGCAAGTAAATAAGGGTCATACAACTCAAGAGTTAATGCAGTCATGCTGAAATCAAGAAGTAACAAAACTTGAAATATAATTGTCTCCAGTCCCATGCTGACCTGGTTGGTTAGTTATTGGGTCTATTATTTTCTGTGTTGATAAGGACTCTGGCTAAAATGTTTTGTTGTATATGTGCACAGTTTCCTTTCCCTCCACTAAGCTTTCAAGTCATAGTTTGTTGTTTAGTTACTTCTTGATATTACAACAAAGTCAGACATCAAGGACACTGTAGCCAAACATGTTTCCTGGTAACATCTGCCAGGTAGGACCTATCTTCTTTAGAAAAGACTCCAATTCTAGTAGAAATAAATAAACAGACCTACTTTGCCTAAAAAGTATGTCATAAAAACTAATTAGGAGTTTCCTAAAATAAGATGTTTTGGACCAAAACAAACAGATATCTCAGCCAAGCTGTAAACTACAACACAACATGCAAACTGCCATTTTAAAAATGAATACAGAAGAAGAAGCAAAAGGATAAGACTTCTTTGCCAGTTGAGTGGTTATATGTATGTATGTATGTATGTATGTATGTATGTATGTATGTATGTATATGTGCGCGCGTGTGTGTGTGTGTGTGTGTGTGTGTGTGTGTGTGTATATATAAAATCAGAGGCAGATTCACTGCACTTTTTTCCTATATGGCTCTGTATGAAAGAGTTGGGCTCCTCAGGCAAACCGCTAGACTATGACAGCTTCCATGCCTAACTACAGCACAAACAAAGTATCATTTGGAAAAAAGGTCTTTCTTTAATGCAAGCCCATCTTGCTAGCCATCACCAAGAGCTATGCTTCCCATGTCTTCCTATATAGCTCAGTATAACGATATGAGCTGGACAGACAGAAAGGTGTCAATGAATGAACCTGGAAAGATGCCAACAACATCCTCTATCAATGGAGCAAAGGTCCTCAAGCAACACAAGGAAAGCCCTTCGCAGACTTGCTCATGTCTGTGAGACTGTTCAGCGGAAGTTGTCTATGGGATGCTGTAGCTTATTTGAACCATTTTGGTTTGGACAGTAGTCCCCGCCTCTCTTAGCTATACACATCAAGATAAGCCAGTGAAAGGAAAATGAACGATGTGACAGACTGGCAGAGTTTGCAGTGGCTAGTGAAGGAAGAAGTATAGACAGAGTAGACATACTGAATGCACTGCGGTCTAGACAAGCTGAGATAAACAAGTCAGTGGCAATCATATGCCTGTTGGAAATGGATATTAAACGAGGACACACATGAAGAAACTGGCTGTGGGGCGAAGAAGGAAGATATGCCAACCAACTCATACTGGTGAGCACAGAGACACTGCTGCATCAGAGGATGGGGCATGAATGGGTCGAGCTGATGAACTAGAAAGTCGATATGGATAACATGTCACTCACCTCACAACAGGTTATAAATATTCAAATCTGGAAATCCAACAGTTACTGCAGAGGAAGGGAACTTAAGACTCTACAGAAGCATTATTTTACCAGTTCTTCTTTATGGAGCAATATACTGGAGAATGACAAAAAAGGATGCACACAAGCTGTCCACCTTCCACCACACATGTCTACGTAGAATTATCAAAATTTTCTGGCCAGATACAATCTCAAACACTAAACTACTTCAAGTCACAAACCGACAGAAGATGGAAATGGCTTGGCCACATTATGAGAATGAATCCTTATATACCTGCCATAATAGCTCTCACATGGACACCAAAGGGAAAGAGAAAGAAGGGGCGCCCAAAAACAACATGGAGACGAACGATGGAGAGTGACCTGAATGCTGCATCTCTGACATGGAAAACTGCATTGAAGATTGCACAGGATAGGTAAGCATGGCAAGTCCTTTCTGAAGCCTCATGTGCCCATAACGAGAACGGATTGCAGTGCAAAATGCATTCACTGATCAGTCCAACATCAATAATCATCTATTCACACTCATCTATCATGACAACAGTCACACTACTGACTCCTTATATCTGTACTAGCGGCCGAGGTAGTGTAAGCTAGACACCTAAAGACCTAGAGTTCAAATCTGCATCAAGGCAAATTTATCTGAAAATTAACCTTGGTTCCCAGGTCCTGGGAAGTAAAGGTAGCCTGTTTTTTTTTTTAGAAAGGTTAACTGACAATTTTCAGGTTTTACCCCACCTGTCCTAAAAGTGTTATTTCGTTAATTGCTTTGTACTCAAGCATTAGAAAAAAAAAAACACCAAAGCAAACTGATAAACTCTACGTGAGATTAACTCATAAAAGGAGAAGAAATAAGACAACTGTCTGGACAACCTCCGTAAAAAAAAACAGTGATAAGACAAAGTAGAAGGTCCTGGCTGCATTCTGAGAAGTGAACAGAAAATCACTAAACAGGACCTGAAACAGGAAACAAATGAACTGAGAGAAGAGACCAAGATAAACCCTGAGAGGAATATTGCTGAGAGAGGTCAACAACAAGAGGCTAAGGTACTGGACTGGATTCAATCCCTGATATCAAAAGGATTGCACAAGATAGAATAGAATGGAGGATTAGACTAAACGCCATGTGATGTATAACGTCATGTCAGGATGATGATGGCTCAAACACTGCCTTCTTTATATTAGAACTTTTCAGTAATGGAGTTAAAGTTATCACACACTGATTTTGAAAAAGTGAGGTCCCAGGTGGGTACTGGCATTGTTGACAAGATAATTACCTGGAGAAGACGAGGGTTATTCTGCCCAATTTGCTGCAGGAGAGCTGGTAGCAGGTGGGGGTTTTCCTGGATGGCCACTCGCATTCGCTGGAACTGAGGCTGTGACCTCAAGAAGGCCAAAGGATCGTCTTCACCACTCCCTGGGGATAGTAGGAAAGCAAGATGTGTTAGCTTAACACTAAATGAAGGTTGGTTACATTGTACCCACTGTTGGGTTTGGGAATATTTTGTTGTGATGACCTTGTTTTGAGTTGCAACTGAGGGTTAAAACAAACCAGGTGGTTACATTGTACCCACTGTTGGGTTTGGGAATATTATGTTGTGATAACCTTGTTCTGAGTTGCAGCTGAGGGTAAAAACAAACCAGGTTTGTTACATTGTACCCACTGTTGGGTTTGGGAATATTATGTTGTGATGAACTCACTCTGAGTTGTAGCTGATTGTCAGAACAAGCCAGACAGAAAGCCTGAGCAAGGATACAGGTAGCCCAGAATACCCAAGGCCAAAGGAACCAAGAAAAACAGATGAGAACTTTGTCCATGGTCAGTTTTAAGCCACAGATCCATACTAGTAAACTAATTAGGGATGTTCCTTCAAAAATAGGAGTGCATCTGCCTGAAAGGCCAGGAACCAAAAGCCTTCTTATAAATAAGCAAGATCTGTAAAATGGATGTGCACATGAAACAGATTCTGAAACAAGACTAAAGTCTGGAAGCTGATGAACAACCAGAACTTTCTGCTGGAGTTTACAGCCGGTGAATGTGAAGAAGAATAAAGATGATTTCTAGGTAAACATTTCTTTTGTACTGTGCACATGGGTTTTTTTCTGTTTAATATTTGAGCAGAACACAAATTTCTGACACCCAGTGACAAGTTCTTTTTTTTTTTTTTTTAAGAAATGTCAAACTATGACCCACAGACCTGACGACATTACTATTTCACAAAGAAAACTGATTTAGGCTCACAGGTTATACAATATGCTTTTTGGAGGGATGGAGCTCTATCCCCCCCCCCCCCCCCAACAATGGGGCTCCAGAATACACACAAGGAGTTACTTATTCTATGTAATGGTGTGAATTTCCAGGGAAATCCCAGAGAGTGTCCAATTGGGGGGAAAAGGTCAGAGGACCAGTGAAACAAGACCAAAGTGTGGAAAGCATGTCTCGAGTATCCCGTGGTGAGTGAATAGGGATACAAGGAAAGTGTGAGACTTTAACGGAAGGTGTGAACCTAGAGAGGATAGGAAGTCAGTTGAAGTTTGGACCTCAATGTGACACAAGTGAATGACTGGATAGTGTGACTGTTGGAACAGCGAATAAAGATCAATAACTAAGTGTTCTTCATCTGGTGTATTCCTAGTTTCTTTTTGTAACTAAGGACATCAGTATCGCAATGTGACGAGTGTAATCAAACCTTAGACAGAGCCACAAAGCATTCTACTTCAGCCTGTTTTGTAGGTACACATTTGTGTGGAATGCAAATGCATTATGTCTGTACTTATCAACAACAATTTATTCTAAAACATCCAGTGACAGAGACATGTCCTATTCAGACATGCACACCTGACTCAGATTAGATAAAACTATACTAACCTTCTGCTTGAGACACGCCTAGCGATTCTGAGGAAGGATCCGAACCCAAAGAAACATTAGATTCACTTTCTCCAGTGGGCCTTGCAGCGGTCTGACCACCAAACCCTGCATCTTGATCAGCACCTTGGTCAGGGATGCCCTGAATGAGGAATAAATGGGCTCAATTCTGACACTTTAAAGAGTGTTTTAACTCACTTAATCCAATCACAAAACAGACTCAATCTTCAATCTAAGACAATAACATGACTGACTCAGTCTTGCCCACTCAGAGACAATATCAATCTAAAACAATAACATAACTGTGAATCTCACCCAGTTACACAATGAAATATATCTTACCAAATCACATAACTGACTGTCTCACACACTCACAGAAAGTATCCAATCTTATACAATTACTGACTCAATCTTACCTTGTCAACTCAATATCATATACTAGCATAAGTGACTCAATCTTACCAAATCACACAATAAACTCTCACTCAAAAATATAACTGACTCAATCTTATCCAGTCTACTTAATCTTATCCAGTCTACTTAATCTTACCAAATGACACAATAACTCTCACTCAATAACATAACTGACTCAATCTTACCCAGTCTACTTAATCTTACCAAATCACACAATGAACTCCCACTCATTAACATAACTGACTCAATCTCGTCCAGTCAACTGAACCTCCCACAATCAGAGAAAGGGCACTCACTGCCAGCAGATATTCCACAGCTCTGTCTGGGTTATTGTAACTGGCCCTGAGTGCTCTGACCACATTCTCCCTCTCAAAGCCCATCAGCAGCAGTTGTTGCACCATGTTCTCATACGCCTGCCCAGTGACCAGGTTGCTCTCAGCAAACTGCAGACTGTCCCCGCGAGCCTCCAGACCTGCTGTTGCGGCAGCCGGCACCGTTGATGCGGCTGTAGCAGTGCTGCAGAATAAACTGAATTAATGAGCAGCATTCGAGAACCAAAGAAAATATGTGCCAGGATGATTCTCCAGCTTCGTACACATCCTGTTTAGATGCAAACAATTTTGCTTGGTATGTTCTTTGATTCGAATATGTGACCTTTGTTTAGAACCAAAGAAAATATCAATAGCATCCGAGAACCACATAAAGTATCAAAATCAAAAGATTCTCAAAACCAAAGAAAGTTTAATTTCTTGTGCCAAGATGATTCTTCAACTCAGACCATCATGAACCTTAAAAATTGTCTTTCTTCTGCCAAACAGTATCTAAAACCACCCAGGTAGACAGGTCTTCGCCTTAAACTTTCCCCTATGTAACACAGTGCAGTTCAGCTTTCTTATTTCCATGATGTGACTGAAGAATACAGATTGTCTCTTTTTTTTATGTGGGCAATCAATTACCTTCATGTGTTTGTTTCAAGACATCTTTATTACTATCCATTATGCTAATATTATCCCCTACAGCAGGGCTATTCAACTAAATCTGCTCAGGGGCCGAAATTGTGGAAATGGGTATTGCTACGGGTCCAAGACCCAGCACAGAAAGATCATTAATTTAGTACAAATGGCAGTGACCAGCTGGCCACTTGCTATGCCACTTGCATTGTCTTGCCCTACAGCCATACTATCCACTACAGCCCCACTACCTGCAACATCGCCAATGACAATATCATAAAAAGATTTGAAACAAAATGAAAAATAGAACCAGCCAGCTTCACAATAACACAAACCACAAGTGGCTGTTGCAGCTAGTACATTAAATAAATCTATAATACCATAAGTCGCCGTGGCCGAGCGGCTAGACGCGCGCCGCGGATCAGAAGGTCGTGGGTTCGCTCCCTGGCGGAGCCGGACTTTTCTTCAAAAAATGACCTTGGCTCCCAGGTCGACCCAGCCTTGAGTGGGTACCGGGTGCAGTCCCGGGAAGTAGAGGCGGCCGGCGTGATGCTGACCACATCACCCACCTTGTGCCGTTGGTCTATAAAAATATAGGTCTAGCCCTATATGCCTTATACGCCTAAAGGCGTGGAAAGGGTCCTTTACTTTTTTTTACTTATAATACCATAAGTACAGACAAGAGTATAAAGAATTATTTGACTGACATCTCAAATCCGCGATACAAATCACATGTCTGTCTGGCCAGAAGAATATCTGATCTGACACTTGCGTGGCCATGGAAATAAATACGGCCAGAAAAACCAGTGAGAAGCAAGGGCCATAAATCAAAGACAACTTACTGGATGCTTAGTCCCTTAAGTGAACTGGTGCCAATGAGATAGATAATTTCACCAATGACAATGTACAGATAAGGAATATGAAAGTAATACCTTGGAGCTGAGCCAGGCTCTGCAGGTCTAGCGCTCTGTGATGTTGCCACAGGTGGAGCAGCTGCTGCTGCCGCCGCTGCCGGGGCAGCCTGTGCTGTGGTATTTGCAGGTGCCTCCGTGACTGCAGGTGCTTCTGGTGGCTTTACTGGCTGTGGCTTTTGCTGTTGTTCAAATAACAGGAAATATATAATATAGTAAATATGAAATAACAAAAGGAAGTAATTAAAACAGCTGTTATTTCTTACGCTGGGGTCTTGATGAGGCAATGGTGTGCAATACAAGACTCCTAATGTCCCTTGGCTTCTCCACATTCGCATTGTGACCTCTGCTCTCCTCAGAAATTCAGTGAAAGTTTGGAATTTCAGCACCCCAGCAGGAAAATAGATAGGACAATAAATGCAAAATCTGATTTTACCAGCTGGCCACTAATTTCCTCTTCTTTTTCACATTTAGTGGCTGTAACTCTGGTGGAATGTTCTAGTTGTTTGTCCACTTCTGCTTTTTGGTCTTGTTCCAGAACCTGAGTATTGCGTGCACATCCACTTTACATATCTGACTTATTTGTATGCAGTTGTTCCTTGCCTCTCAGGGAGACATACTTCGACTCCAGGGAAGCCCCAAATTAGTTTACTCTTAGGACATGCTTGTTGGGGAGGCAATTAGTCAATTACTATTCTCCCCACAATGGGAAAGCCATTAATCTGACTGCAAAGTAGAACAATGCGAGCGGCAGATTTCAAATGTAATGTCTTTTCTCTGTTACCAGTGATCTGTGTTGTGAACCACACATTGAGGAAATGGAGGGCAGCTGGTTGCCACTGATCTAATGCTTATGCAGTAATGTGTGTACACTTGCTGGTTAGCTGTGACAGCTTCCCTCAACAATGAACTGCACTTTTAGTGGCAGACTGTTGGTGTTGGCACTTAATGCATGTGCAGGCTACTAGATTTTTTCAGGCCTATTATCTCTCTTTTCATATGGGACTTCTTCTTCACCTCTAGTAAACTTCCACAGAAAGTTATGATTAATCCCTCACTTCCAGGCTTTGGTCTTGCTCCAAAACTTCAGTTTTGTCTACACATCAGTTTTACAGATCTGGCTTATTTGTATGCAGACTGTTGGTTCCTTGCCTCTCAGGCAGATGAACTCAGGATTTATAGGAAAACCCCTAATTAGTCAACTCTTACAACATGCTTGTTGGTGAGGCAGTGGGTCTATTCTTGTTCTCCCTACAAAGGGCTCTGGAACCAACATAGGAAGTTAAAAAGAAACATCTCTAATTAATCGTCTTTTATGACATGCTTGCCTATTCTTTTTATCTCCCAATATGAGGCCCGGAACCAAGAGAATGAATTACTAAGCTTCTTCTTCTTCTTCGCGTTCACCAGCTGTAAAATCTGGCAGAAAGTTCTGGTCGTTCGGCCACTTCTGGACTGCAGTCAAGTTCCAGAACCTGAGTGTTGCGCGTGCATCCGTTTGTCAGATTTGACTAATTTGTATGCAGACTGTTGGTTCCTTGCCTCTCAGGCAGATGCACTCCGACTTTGAAGGAAGCTCCCAATTAGTCGACTCTTACAACATGCTTTTGGGTAGGCAGTGGATCTATTCTTGTTTTCCCTATAATAGGGCCCCGGATCCCACACGGGAAGGATTACTAAGCAAAGGGATAAGCCATTTTGTGTGGTTTTCAGCCATTTTGTGTGGTTTTCACTGTCACAGAAGCAAAGCAATTAGGGGTAACCTGTTTGTCATGAAGTTGGAATTGTGACTATACATAAACTGATCAATCCTGGGGATTTGAGATATCAGTGAGAGATCTTTTAGGTGTTGCAGATATGATCCATAATTCCAAGAAACCTGATTGAATTCTAGCTGCAGGCAATTTGGCAGCAGACCATTCTGTGCTGACTGTGACAATAGTATTGACAACTGAGAAAGCAAAATACTGTAAATGAACCCACTAACAGCCAAAAAATGCTAAGGTTGCCTTTGCAAAGTCCTGTAAAAGATGCCCAACTCTTGTGATCTGAACTTGTATGTTGTGATAATGTGGAATCTTGTGTCATTAAAAAAAGAGGGGAGGAGGAGTCTCTCTGGTAAAGCTATTAAACCATTAGTCTCATGCTCTGAAAGTTATGGGTTCAATTTTTATTCACACGTGTTGTGGCTATACCCTGAGATAGTACCTTGCTTCCCCAAAAATAATACAGGGTCTTATATCAGTTTTGTTTAAAAATGCACTAGGGTTTATTAATGTAACAATATCAACATTATTTCAAATACAGTCAGGTTATCTTGTAAACAATGGCCTACAAAAAAATGACTAGATTTTGCTGCTGCCAACATTCTGCTTCCTAAAATACACACAACTGTTATTACCAAGTGCACACTAATGGCAATCGTAATCTGACTAGCCATTTGGCAACAAGTCTCTCATTCTAGCTGACAACCTTCACCTGGGCTTATTCTGGGCTAGGGCTTAAATTAAAAGCATCCTAAAAAATCAGGCTAGGACTAATTTTCAAGAAGACTTTGTAGTGTAGGAGTCATGAAGCTATGTTTTTTTAAATGATATTCTTGGTGGACAAACACCCACTCAGACGAGAGAGAGACTGAGCCATTTTAGGAAAATATCCAGAGCTATGGAGTCTACCCTCTTGCCAACACAATGCAGTGATTGCTATACAAAGTGCCACTTCCTAGTATTAGTTAGTCTTTCCTCTTGGGCGGCACATAGGGCAGAGGTCATAGCTCTCTATGTCTGGCAGTTTGTTGCCACCCCTTTAAGGTCTCGGATGTTTGTTAGGCCCATGGTTAAGTCTTCCCTGGTGATAGCTCTATGTAGAGTCTCTCTTGGTCTTCTTCACTTTATTTTCCCTTTCGGTGCCCTTTTGCTTGATAGAGAAGTCTTGTCTTATCCATTCTGAGTGCATGGCCAATGGAATTCCAGCATTGCTTTTTTAAGTTTCCAGTTTTGGGTCTAGATGGCGGAATGTGTTTCCTTATAGCTCAGCTTAAGACTGTTGATCGACAACCCAACAAGTAAAACATCCTTTGTTTTATAGAAATAAATTCCTAGCTCTAAATGTAAAGATGCTTCGTTCAAACTTTCTGGTATGAGAGCTAATATATATAAATAAAGCACATACCTTTGTTACCATTATAACCACAAAGTTCTTCTCCTCTATTTTATACTCCTCAACTTTCTTGGTATCATCTAGAATTTTGCCTGTTCAAATTAAAAAGACAAAAAAATAAAATTCACATATACTGGTATTTGTATGTATGTGAAAGTTGTATGGTACAGTTTAAGACTGTGTAAAATAATGAAACACAACGATACCCAAATATACGTCTGCTTTGTAAAAAAGTCCAACTCAGTATACATGGTGTTTAGATGCAAGAAATTTTGCTTGGTATGTGACCTTTGTTGGGAATATGACGGACATTTAACAAAGGTCTTTGTTTCCGGCTTGGACCTTGTTGAGGCTCACCAGATATGACCTTTGTTAAATGTCCGTCATATTCCCAACAAAGGTCATATCTGGTGAGCCTCAACAAGGTCCAAGTGGGAAACAAAGACCTTTGTTAAATGTCCGTCATATTCCCAACAAAGGTCATATCTGGTGAGCCTCAACAAGGTCCAAGTGGGAAACAAAGACCTTTGTTAAATGTCCGTCATATTCCCAACAAAGGTCATATCTGGTGAGCCTCAACAAGGTCCAAGTGGGAAACAAAGACCTTTGTTAAATGTCCGTCATATTCCCAACAAAGGTCATATCTGGTGAGCCTCAACAAGGTCCAAGTGGGAAACAAAGACCTTTGTTAAATGTCCGTCATATTCCCAACAAAGGTCATATCTGGTGAGCCTCAACAAGGTCCAAGTGGGAAACAAAGACCTTTGTTAAATGTCCGTCATATTCCCAACAAAGGTCATATCTGGTGAGCCTCAACAAGGTCCAAGTGGGAAACAAAGACCTTTGTTAAATGTCCGTCATATTCCCAACAAAGGTCATATCTGGTGAGCCTCAACAAGGTCCAAGTGGGAAACAAAGACCTTTGTTAAATGTCCGTCATATTCCCAACAAAGGTCATATCTGGTGAGCCTCAACAAGGTCCAAGTGGGAAACAAAGACCTTTGTTAAATGTCCGTCATATTCCCAACAAAGGTCATATCTGGTGAGCCTCAACAAGGTCCAAGTGGGAAACAAAGACCTTTGTTAAATGTCCGTCATATTCCCAACAAAGGTCATATCTGGTGAGCCTCAACAAGGTCCAAGTGGGAAACAAAGACCTTTGTTAAATGTCCGTCATACTCCCAACAAAGGTCATATCTGGTGAGCCTCAACAAGGTCCAAGTGGGAAACAAAGACCTTTGTTAAATGTCCGTCATATTCCCAACAAAGGTCATATCTGGTGAGCCTCAACAAGGTCCAAGTGGGAAACAAAGACCTTTGTTAAATGTCCGTCATATTCCCAACAAAGGTCATATCTGGTGAGCCTCAACAAGGTCCAAGTGGGAAACAAAGACCTTTGTTAAATGTCCGTCATATTCCCAACAAAGGTCATATCTGGTGAGCCTCAACAAGGTCCAAGTGGGAAACAAAGACCTTTGTTAAATGTCCGTCATATTCCCAACAAAGGTCATATCTGGTGAGCCTCAACAAGGTCCAAGTGGGAAACAAAGACCTTTGTTAAATGTCCGTCATATTCCCAACAAAGGTCATATCTGGTGAGCCTCAACAAGGTCCAAGTGGGAAACAAAGACCTTTGTTAAATGTCCGTCATATTCCCAACAAAGGTCATATCTGGTGAGCCTCAACAAGGTCCAAGTGGGAAACAAAGACCTTTGTTAAATGTCCGTCATATTCCCAACAAAGGTCATATCTGGTGAGCCTCAACAAGGTCCAAGTGGGAAACAAAGACAGTAAAAAAGACAGAGAAAGAAAAATGCAAAAATGTTTAGTTCAGATTCCTGAAATTTTAGCAAAAGACTCTTTTTCAAACAATAATATCTCCTCCTCCTGTCTCAGCACCATCCTAGTATGCACTCAACTCTTCTCAGCAAGGTCAAGTAAAGTTAAAATTTTGTTTGTTTCATCTAATTAACGTAAAGGCCCCCTTTTCCAGGCTTTAGGCGTATTGAGTATACAGGGTAAGACCTATATTTTATAGAACAATCAGCACTTGGTGTGTGATGTGGTCAGCAGAGTCTAGCAGCTACCCCACCGCCAATTAATATTACAGTAAGACAAAATGACTAATAAAGAAATGTTTAAAGCAACAAGGGATGTAAAGAGAATTACACTATAAGTACCTGATCTCGCTATAGGTTTCAGATCATTCTATAGCAAAGAATCTGAGATCTCACCATAGGTACTTGGGTGGAGCCGCCGTGGTGTAGCGGCTAGACACTGGCCTGTGGATCTGAAGGTGTGGGTTCAGGTCCTGGCCTAGCTGGACCCAGCCTTAAATGGGCACTAAGTAAAGAACTGGAAAGTAAAGGCTGCCGGCGTGATGTTGACCACATCACCCACCAAGTGTTGATATGTCTAGCCCTATATGCCCAATACATCTGAAGGCATGGAAAGGGTCATCCATTCTTTTTACAGGTATCTGGGCTAGTAGCAATTAAGAAAACTGAAGTAATGGTTATATAAAAAAAAAAAGAAGATAACTCCACATTGTGATATCTCAACTGAAGGAAAAAGACTCAACCAAGTCAATAAATTCAAATATCTGGGAACAATCATATCATCAGATGGAAAATGTGTCACAGAGATTAAAAGCAGAATAGGTCAAGCGAAAAGCTGCATTTCAAAAAACAAATCACTCTCATTTAATGTCAGAAAGAGGGTGCTAAAATGTTACATAGAACCTGTTCTGCTGTATGGAAGCGAATCTTGGAATGTCAGTGTACAAAATAAGAAGAATTTAGAAGCAATAGAGATGTGGTTTTTGAGACAAATGTTACGAATACCTTGGACGGCCAGAGTAACTAACAATAATTGCTTGAAAGAAGCTAATGAAAGTAGATCTCTAAATACAACAATAAGAAAGAGATAAACACTGTTCTTTAGCCACATAATGAGAAGAGAGACATTGGAGAACATCGTGACAACTAGAAAGATCATTGGGAAAAAGGGTAGAGGCAGACCAAGAGAGGTGATGCTGGATGAGATGAAACGATGGCATGGAGGGATATCATCAAAAGAACTGTTCCAAGAAACCAAGGACCATGATCTGTGCAGATGCATAAGCGCCTATGCCAGTTGGCAGGGCACATGATGACGATGATCTGGGCTAGCCATCACTTATGGAGAATACCCACTATTAAAAGTACATAAAGAACTAACTTCAAAAAGCCCCTTCATACCTGCATAAATAAGCTTCTGACCACTGGCTGGATAATCTTTCCCTTTCTCTGACTCAATTTTGTCTTTCAATTCTTTTACCTGAAATCATCAACAAGAATTTACCAATTAATAAAGAACTGACATCATTGCACTCAGGACATTCCCATAAATGCTCCATCTCCTTTCTCATTGGCCAAAGAAGAGACGATATGCTAATAGGACCAGCTGTAGCTGACTAAAATTCTGCCTATACTTTTCCATCAGTGTAAAATATCTTCCAAAACATCTACTAGCCCCTTTTAAATAAGTCTTTTAACGTGTGTATAATCTGTTCTATTGCACTGTCCACTTGATCCCAGTCTTCATCACATCCTATTTATCATAAAGTAGCTCACTGCCAAGAGGAGCGGCAGTAGCTAATCTTTCAGCCTACTCATTACCCCATATACCTGAATATCCTGGACAGAAAATCCCTGACATGCTCCTGGTGAGTTTTACCAAGTGATGCAAGCCACTCTTTGCGAAAGCAATCAATCAATCCTCACCACGTCCAGAGGCACATAAGGCAGAGACAAACTGTCGCCACTGAATTCGATATTAAGCCACCCTCTATCTCCAGTTGTGTCCTTCACGTAGCCTTGAGTTCAGCCTGAAAAGTTCGCCTCCAAGTGCCTCTTCCTTGCTGTCCTTGTGGTGTCCATTTTACTGCCTTTCTTGGCCGTCTCTCTTTCTCCATTCTGAGGACATGTCCAATCCACCTGTATCTTCATTTTCTAAATGTTTATCTTCTAATTCTGTCATTTGTTGTAATCTAGAACTACTGATTTTATCTTCCTATGTGAACCCCAACAATCTTCTGAGAAGTTTTTCCTCAAAACCTCTGAGCATGCTCTCTATCTTTTTGTTCATTCATTCGTTCTGTCTGTTGTCCAAGTTGCTGGTCCAAAGAGAACTGTCCTAACGCATGTTTTGTATATCCTGAGTTGAGTTTTAGTGCTGTAGATCTGCAGACACTCTGCAGTCTGTTGTAAGAAGCATCTGCTTTTGCAATTCTCTGCTTGATTTCAACCACTACATTTTCATCCTAGAATATATTGCTTCCCTGGTAACTGAAGTCAGTTACTGTTTCCAAACCTACATTATCTATTAGTATAGGTCTTTTCATAAAAATAAAAATTCTGTAGCAACATACGGATGTGAATCGTGGACTATCTCCTAGTCCTTAAGAAACAGAATAGGGGCTTTTGAGCTGAAATGCTATAGAAAGATTCTCAGGATATCTTGGACAAAGAAGAGGAGAAATACTGACATCTTGAAAAATCTGAACATCAAGGAGGATTGGCTAATAAACAGCATCCTGTCTTGGAAGCTGAAATATTTTGGTCATATCAAGCACCACAATGGACTGAAAAAAATTATAGAAGAAGGCATAGTACCAGGAAGGAGGGGCAGAGGCTGACCGACACGAAGATGGGCACAGGATCTAAATGACTCCTTGAATACACGAGGAGAAAGAGCTGGCGAGAGACCAAGTCTCTTTCAGGGAGACCATGATGAGAGCGACATTCTGCAAAGGACCTGCTACATGATGCTTTCACTTTTGGGGTTTATCTCAGGCATTTTGTTTTACTGACATTGATTCTTAACCCTGTCTCCTTTGCTATGCAGATGTTCTTTACTTTGGCTGATGATACAGATATCATACAGGTGTTCGAAAAGGTTCCACTGAAGACATCTTGTGCCTGTGGTTGCTTTCTTTTTAATATAATCTATATCACTATGAGAAACAAGAAAGGTGACAGAAGGCACCCTTGTCGGACTCCTGATTTTACCCTGAAGAATTTATTCTGTTTTTACCTCTTTCACTTTGCATTGGTATCCTTCATAGTGTTGTTAAACATGTTTATAACATTATCTGGTAACCCATACACAGCAAGGATCCTCCCCACCATTGTTCTATCTAGACTGTCCTAGGGCTTATTCAAAGTCTACATTTAATGTGCCATTCCCTGCTAAATCTTGTTTAACAATATTTCTGACAGTGAAAATATGACCACAGCAGTTTCTTCCTTTTCACCCTACAGAGTGCCTTTCCGGGTACAGGCAATCCTGTTATGCCCCATCCAGTTGTTGCAGTGTGAGACATGACTCTTTGATAGTGGGATGATTACACAATTGTTCCAGTCTCTTGGGAACACCATTTATCCATATTATGTTGAATACTTCATGTAATGCTTTTGCTGTAAACTGTGGGTCTGTCTTTAACATGTCAGCACTAATTCGGTCTTCACCTGGTGCTTTCCCATTCATTATACTGCTTATTGCCATTTCTGTTTCTTTAACGCTGATTGGCCCAATAATTATTTCTAGGAGCTGGTCTGCTGTTTCCACTGGCATATCTGATGCTGGCTTATTTAGCAACTCTGTAAAATATTCTTGCCATCTGTCAACCTTCCCTCTTCCCGTTGTGATGATTTCCCTGTTGTGTCTCTCAGGTTTTCCTTCATTAAAGCTAAAATGTTTCTAAGATCCTTTGTTATTTTATACAATGTTCTAGTATCACCTGTCATTCTGCTTCTTCCGCTTTAGCTATGCGAGGGCACCGGTTTCAATTTTCTGAAGCATGATCTTTGAGTCCATTAAAATTACAATAAGTCAAGCTGTGTTACTATTCAGAAAGCAAAAGTTAAACAGTTGTCAGATTGGAAATGAAAATACACTTGAATTTACCAAAACATGGTCTCTACGATACTGCAAAGGTTCTGTGCTACAAAAAGAAGAAGCTTAGACAAATGGCATAGCTTAAGGTGCCATGGGCTGTATTTGATGGCAGGAGATTCTTCCCAAAGCTGGACATTCCGCAGCCAATAAAATGCTGATATGCCACAGCCTGTGTGCTTCATTTGATGCTAAGAGTTAGGACAAAATCTCAATCAAACGCTGGAAAAGTCAATCTACCATAAAATATAAAGAAATGTGAAATGTAACTTTAAGCTCTAGCTTGCTCCTGGAAATGTCAGAACTATGTGTCCAGGGCATTCTGCTGATCTTAAAAAAAAAAACTTGAAGATCTGAGCAAAATGGTTGTCACTGATACAGAACTCAATAAATGGCATATATTTTGCTGCCCTAAATGAGGCATGCCTTCTCAAAAATGGATTTTCTGCAAAAAAAAAAAAAAAAAAAAGCTCTTTTCAGGGGAAGGGAGACATCTAACAGTGCACAGTGGGGTTTGTAGCAAAGCACAATATAGGGATCAAGTCAGAGTCTAACCAGAGGAAATGACAAAACGCTGCTGGCACCTTTTGGCTTTTACAGACGAGGGTTATACTGTACTACAAGGAGGCACATCGACCACAGCCCGTGGCGATGGTGAGTGTGACTAGCAAGACCCACCCACATTAAGACAATTCTCCACAATTTCAGCAAGTGATTTCAGGACCGTTGTTGCTATCACATTTATTTAAAATGACAAAATATTGTCTCTACAACTGTATACTCCATGAGTAATTTGTAACTGTCTACCTTTTCTGATTGTATCACTCTTGTTGCAGTTTATGCATCTACAAGGTGCTAGTTACATTTACCAACACCAGTGAATGTAATTGTAGTTGTCTACCTCTTGTGGTTTTTATCACTCTTGTTACAGTTTATGTAGCTTCACGATGATAGTCACATTTATCACGGCCAGTGTATGTGAGTAATTTGTGCCTGTATCACTCTTGTTACAGTTTATGTAGCTTCACGATGATAGTCACATTTATCACGGCCAGTGTATGTGAGTAATTTGTGCCTGTATCACTCTTGTTACAGTTTATGTAGCTTCACGATGATAGTCACATTTATCACGGCCAGTGTATGTGAGTAATTTGTGCCTGTATCACTCTTGTTACAGTTTATGTAGCTTCAAGATGATAGTCACATTTATCACGGCCAGTGTATGTGAGTAATTTGTGCCTGTATCACTCTTGTTACAGTTTATGTAGCTTCAAGATGATAGTCACATTTATCACGGCCAAAGATGATAGTCACACTTACCATGGCCAGTGTATGTGAGTAATTTGTAAATTTTTGTAACTGTATCACTCTTGTTACAGTATATGCATCTACATGATGCTAGTCACACTTACCACCGCCAGTGTATGTGAGTAATTTGTAAATTTGTTTGACTGTATCACTCTTGTTACAATATATGCATATACACAGTGTATGTGAGTAATTTGTTTCTATACCTCCCTACATCACAGTGTAACACAGCTGTCTGAAAATACCTGTATTTGGATCTTGAGCATATTTGCCAGCGAATCAAGACATCAAATAAAACACCACCAAGGTGGGATGTTTCTCAGCGGCATAAGAAAAAGACATAGTAGGTAATTTACCTGAAAGTAAAAGACCCATTTCTTTACCTAAGAAATCATGAGCATATACAGCTTGACTTCGATTTTATAGACCAATCGACACTCGATGGGTGATCTGGTCAACATCACACAGGCCACCTTTACTTCCCATGATTATACCTAGTATCTATTTAAGGCTGGGTTGACTAGGGAGTCAAGACCATATAAGTTTCAACAAATCCATCTGAATATCTCCGCTTTAGGTTAGGTTTTAGCATTGGTATTGCAGCATTACAATTACATGTGTTGTGTATTTACTATGTATTTGTTTTTACATACTTTTGCATATCTGCAACAAAGCATTTTCTGGGTTTATTTATACAAAATGAGTTTGAAAAATGCACTTTAAACTTTAGACTCCGGACTACTAAAACTCTGGCGAGTTACAGTACACTACTGTGTCAGTAACCATTTTCTTAAATGTAAAATAGTGGCATTACTCATTTCGATAGCCACTTAATAAACTCCACAGTCGTCGCTGTGTTTCAAATACACAGAACCTAAAACAATCTCATTACCATTCAATTCATACCACTGCATTATTGCTTTTTATTTTTACTTTTAACAGTACTAAATACTGAGTACTACTCTGACTCTGCGACAACGCAACATTGATCACTGAACATCCCGGGACTACGAAACGATAAGTCGGATTATTAGCAGGCATCAAAAGCAGCTTACTGTGATCTCTGGAGAAACATCTATCTTGAAAGACTGCTGCTGTAACGTTTTCAATGTGATAATCATGTTGGCAAGCCGACCCGATGTAGCAGACGAAAGAAACGTGATAAAATATCAATATGCGATGACTCCTGCGTTAGACAGCCGCCATGAAATTCTCATACAGCAGTGAATGCGGTGACTAATGGCCGGACCCGAAGCTATATTTTTTGGGGGGAAAGGATTAATTCTAAAATTGCTTTCCTAAATTTCACATTGAAACTGGTCATACCGTTTTAAATTTTGATTTGTAAATATAAATATGTTTAAGTATTTGAAATTAAATATAGGAATATTTATTGTTAATCTAATTCTACTTTACTATATGCACGAAGACTTCATTTATATTTTCAACTCCTTAATCTAATGTTTTTAACCCCTTTATCTAATGTAAGACGACACGGTTCTCCTTTCCAACAGTTTACAAGGTTTGGAAAAATTATTTATGGCAGTCAAAAATCACAGCGAAGAAGTAAATCTCTTCTTTAAATTGGAAAAAAAAAAATTTCTAAATAAATACAGCATACCAACCACATATCAGAATCGAAAATGAAGAAATAGAGAATGTAACAGATTTCCAATATTTGGACTCTTTAGTGAACAACAGTGGCGACCGCTTGAAATAAGCCAGAAGAAGACTTGCATTAGCAATGCAGAGATTAAACAAACAGCACGAAAAACCTATGGCAAGGCACTACTAAATTTGTTAAAGTAAAAATCTTGAGATCATGCATTTTTTTCCAGTGGCAACTTACGGGTGTGAGTCTTGGACTTTTACTCAGTCACTGAGGGAAAATTTGGAGCTTTTGAATTTAAATGTCAAAAACAAAAAACAAAAACAAAAAAATCTTAGAAAACCATGGATCAAGAAGAGGGAAAACATCGACATTCTAAATGAGTTGAAACATCAAGGAGAATTGGCTCAAAAACAGCATCCTGTCCGGAAAGTTGAAGTATTTTGGCCACATAAAACGGTTTGGAAAAGACGGTGATGGAGGGTGCCGTTTGTGGAAGGCAAGGCAGGGGTCGACCACCGCGAATTTGGATACAGGATATTTAACATGCATTTGCTTTGAAAGCACATGGGGCTGTAAAGCTGACTAGAGAAAGGGATACTTTCAGGCGTGCTGTGAAGAGAGCGACGTTGTGTAAAGGACTTGCTAATTGATGATTTTCTAATGTTAAGTTAACGCTTTCTATCTGAAGATGTTCTATTTCAAAGCAGGCAATGTTTACATTAACATAATTTTTAAAAGTAAAAATATGAGATACAAGAAACTAAACTATGTTTTAGGACATGATGAGTCAATGAACAAACTTCTGCCATAGACTAGAGAAAATAATTATGGACTAACTGATAGACGTACCATAATGGCATTATAGACGCCTGGGCCTAGGGCTCGTGTCCTTATTAGGATTGTACCGAATATTCAAATTAGTAACCACGGAAATGAGATGTCTGAGAAGGGCTGTAGGGGTGACCATAAGAGATAAGATCAGAAATGAGATCATAAGAGAACAAGTCGGCACAGAACCAATTCTGGATTACATACAAAGACAGCAAGTGAAATGGTTTGCCCACTTAGAGAGAATGCCTTGTGACACCATATCATACAAAGCATACATGAGAAGAGAAGAAGGACGTAGAGCACGGGGTAGACCAAGAACAAGATGGAAGGATAACATCAGAGAAACTCTACAACAGCACGATGTGCCTATGGTCGAGGCAGCCAGAAGAGCTAGAAACAGAACCTTATATCTCCCTCGACACCCACAGCGGTAAAAGAGGAAGTGAAGAAGAAGAAGAAGAAGAAGAACCGAATATTCGCTGCGTATTCGCTTCGGGGCTGAATATTGGACCTATTGACTATTCGGTGTTTGGCCGAATAGATGCGGTCGGGCCGAATACGAATAGTAGTTACCTTACACACGCTTCTGCATACACGGCCTTAATACTGACAACATGGAACGATTGGTTTTGTTGAAGGCCAATGCAGCTTTCCTGCATTAACTAAGCTGTCAGTGACAATTTCCAATTTCAGTTACTTGTTATAATACTTATGATTCTTTCATTCCTAGTTATTAGTTACCACAAACTGACTGAAGGATGCAAAACATAAAATGGTTTTAAATGTTTACTATTCTGTACGAATACTAACTAAACATGGAAAGAATATAAACTCCGTCCACATCCAAGTCGATAACATGAAAATCAAACGAATGGAAACATATAAGTACTTGGGTGCAAACTTGAACTGCTTTAACATGCTGAGAGAAGAAATACAATCTAGAATACAATCTAGAAATAAAGTATACTATGCCCTTCAACATTTGCTAAAGTCAAAGTGTCTGTCTCGCAACACCAAGATCAAAATATTCAAAACTTTGATAAGACCAGTCGTTTTATATGGCTCTGAAACTTGAAGCAGAAATAAAAAAGATGAGGCCTTATTACAGGTTTTCAAAAACAGTTTTACGAAAAACCTTTGGACCCATCAAAGATGCTAACGGTGGGGAATGGAGAGTGAGAAGCAACAACGTAACACTTAATCTGTTTAAATCAGCATTGATCACTGGCACCATGAGAGCTAACAGACTACAATGGTTGAGGCATATTGAAAGAATGTCAGAAGACAGAGAAGTAAAACTGTATACACCTGAGAGAGGAATGGTCGTAGACCACGAAGCAGAAAAACAAAAGATCGAGAGATAATGTCCAGTCAGACCTGCAAACATCTGGTGTCACAAATTGTGAAGAGAAGGCCAGTCAGATAGATGAATGGAGACGAGTGATATCTGCAGCAGTAAACTACAGCAGCTAAAGAAGAAGATGACTATTCTGTGCTACTTTATGTGAAGTAAAAGTTCAGCGTACATTTGACATGATGAATGTGTTTTATTTATTTTTTAAAAATATATTTCATATACTATACACTATTCGTATTCGGCCGAATAGTTGGTCCCGTTATTCGTATTCGGCGAATAGTGAAAATCAGCCCTAGTCCCTATATATATATATATATATATATATATATATATATATAATATATATATATATATAATATATATATATATATATTATATATATATACACATAAACTACCAGTTTTAGTCATTACAGTTTTTATTACTAGCTATATTTCACAGTCCACACAAATTCTGACGCCCTATGCAGCCTCACATGTTGCACATGCCTAAATACGGGCCCTTATGGAGTATATGATATACAAAATGACTATATACATACACATTTGATATTTTCCTCATTTGTTCACTACTTGTTCTATGCTAGGAAGTTGATGCCCCGATACAATCGTCGACGAAGGACCTTCTACTGATGATCGGTGGACCCCTGTTGGGCATGCTCACCTGTTTTTGATTTGATTCAAGAACCGACATCACAGCACTTGGGGCATTCCCATAAGCGCTCCATCCCCATCTTCAGCAGCCAGCGAAGAGTTCCGATACTAATGGTGCCAGTAGCTTTCTGATTAAACATCCGTCTTGCCTTTCCCCTGAGCCTCGAGCTTCTGCCAGAACCTCTCGTCACCCCCAACTGCATCAATCTCACCAGACTGTGGTGATCCATCTGCTCCTCCGAATTGTACACGCTCTCCCACAAGGCACTAACCACGTCTGCCCTATCATGTAGCAGTATTCCACCAAGTGGTGCAGAGCCAGCCAGTCTGTCCGCCTGTTCATTCCCCAACACACCGGCATGACGCGGTGAAAAAATCCAGACAATACTCCTCACTCGTGTTCTCGAGCGAAGCATGCCACTCTGCACGAAGCATACCTGTTCTGATCTTCCTCAGCATGCTTTCTGAATCAGTTACAATCACGATGTTTGTGTTTGTCGTGTTCTCTAGCCAGCGGAAAGCTGCAGTGACCGCCTCCACCTCCATTCTTAAGCTGGATGTTGTGGTATCATATGCTGGGCTATCCTACACCAAACGTCGACCATTAACTTTTGCTAAGAAGCCCCAAGCACTTCTTTTGCTTTTGACACTGAACCGTCTGTGTAAATGATCAGATCCTCTGAGCTAGCATTATCTTGAATTAATTGCTGAATTTCCACCTCTGTGGCACCTGCTGGCCAGTCTCTGCATTCCCGGCTCAGCGTGATTATGACTCTACACAAGTCTGACTGCTCAGGTGGCACTTTGACCCACTTCTCTCCTCGCCTAATGTTCTCAAGGATGCAAAACTGTCTGATTGTGTCTTCTGCCTGAGCCATCCATGACCTCCCTTTTATCAGCCGCTGACCCTTAACTACACCCAGAGCTTCATGCAAGGGGTGGTCTGTGTCTGCAGCTACCCTGAGATATGACTTTGCCTGCAGCACCTTGTGCCTATCTGGAACCGTCGGCAAACCAAGGATATATCGCATACACACCACTGGGGTGTTTCTGGTGCAACCCAGAATGACGCACATAGCCGCATTCTGTATGCGCTTTGGTTTGTCCATCTGACTCTTTGAGACGGTAAGCAGTCCCAGGCCATAATCAACCACTGACAGGACCAGGTGCTGATATAGTGTGAAAAGCATTCTCTGGGGGAGAGAAACACTTACAGTCACAAGAGTTGCTTTAAGTCGGCTTAACAATGTTGACACACAATTGCTTTATGCCTCTTGCTTGTAAGGTTTCTGTTCGAGCGGCAGCTAACCTGTTGATTGAGCACACATGATGATGGAACTTTCAGCGCTCAAGTCTGTTATTGGAATGTTGAAAGGAATAAATAAGTGATTACAAAACAGCGAAAGCATTGTTAGAGAGATTTTTTCCACCTGGTATCAAAGAGGCCGCTTACTTGTTTTCGCATCAAACAATCTACCAGTTTATGCGCCGACCAGTGTTGTTGTTTTTTCAGTTGCGAATTGTTCACATAAAGAGCCGTAATCGCCATTGACACTTTCCACTGTCGAAGAAAAATTAGTTTACTATTTATTATTACTGGTTACTATTCTTTTTAGAACTACGCCACTAATTTTACGACTAAACATAACAAAGAGTATGTTCGCTGCA